AAATACAATAAAGAATATATATAACTACTAATGCTATTTATAATATACTATGCTAAAATCTACTTTGTAACAATATTCTATGTTTTGTTTTTTGTTTTGTTTTAAAACTAGAGATTAGCAAAAAGAGTTAATAAAAATTAATATTATACAATTAAATCTTTTTTTAAAAACTTAAATTCAATTATTAATTTTTTTAAATTATAAAAATAAAAATTTTATCTTTAATATTTAAAAAAAAAGAAACAAAACTTAATTTTATCTTTAACTTATCTTAAAATATTAAAAATTTAAAATAGAGAATTATTATTTACATTATGAATTTTTGCTATTTGTATTATAGTAACTAATATTATAAAAATCTATTTACCTTAATTCTAACTAATTCTAATTATGATCTATATACTATAGTATGAATAGTAAAAATCTATAATATAAATAACAGTTTTCTTTAAGAATAGAATATATGTAGATTATTTTTATATAGTTTTGTATTTTTTTAAAATTTTTATTTAAAAATTAATATATGTTATTAATAAAACTTTTTTATTTTTTAATTAATCAAAAAAATATTTTATATTATAAATAAAATTATTTATTATAATAAAATTTTGAATTATAAGAATGATGATCCTAGTGTAGTAGTTGGATTGTTATTCTTTAAGTAACAGATCTAAGGTTCAAATCTTACTTACAATAAAATTTGAAAACTATATCTGTGTTATAGTAACTGTTTTCTGTTGATCAGTTGATCTTATATGACTGTAATTCAAATATACTAAGTTAGATCTTACTGATATTAAGAGCTTAGAGCATCTATGCAAAGTATAATATTATATATACATAAAGAAATGTATAACCAGTATTGTATAAGACTTTAGTACAAATTTATAATAAGATCATTAGATATAGAGTTTTTAAAGTTCAGTTCAGTTTAAATAAGTTTAGTTCAGTTTAATTGAACCTGAACTAAACTGAACTGAACTCTCTAATTTTGAACTTGAATTAAATTTAAACTAAACTTAAACTAAATTGAACTGAACTTAAACATAACAAAAGTTTAGTTCAATGTTTAGTTCAAAGTTCATAAACATGTTCAGTTTAATATATTTTTATATATATAACAAAATAACTTTAGAATATTAAGTTAAAATTTATTAGTAAAATTTTAAAAATTGTAATATTCTTTATAATTTTATTAGTAAAATTATAAAGAATACTATTATTCTCAAAATTTTACTAATAAATTTTAACTTAAAATTCTAAATTATTTTGTTATTTATATAAAAATATATTAAACTAAACTAAATATGTTTATAAACTTTGAACTAAACCTGAACTGAATTGAACTAATTTAAAAAGTTCAAAAATTGAACTGAACTGAACTTTAGTTTTTAGAAATATTTAGTTTAGCTTAGTTCAATTTTTGAACCGAACTTGAACTTGATAAAAGTTTAGTTCAGTTCAGTTTATAGAAATTCTAATCAAATGTAGAAAACTAAAAAACTAAGATAACAGAAACCTACTTGAAAATTCTTAAATAAAGATGATAACATGAAATTATAACAGTACTATTAAACCAGTTAAAGCCTATAAAAACCTTTATAAGAACTAAACATTAAACTGAACATCAAATATATATAGAAAAGCATATAACCAACTATACTATCAGATTCATCAGAGAAAAAGGATACAGAAGTATATTATACTAGACTATCTGGATTGATAGTCTGGTCAAAGATTGCTAGTTTCAAGTTATAACTAGTAGGAAATAATGAAAAAGATGCTAAAAAGATAGGTACTGGAGTTCTAATAAACTTTACAAGACTAAAAATAGTGTAATATAGTGATTAAACAGATAACTTCAGTAACTGCAAGTGTTAAATAACTATAACATGTTATATAAAACTAGGTCAATATATATAAAACATAAAGGCTCTAATAAGTTTTTTATCAAGAATAAAGTAGTTCTAAAAAAAAGTACTGATTAGTATTAAAAACTTGAATGAGTGTAATCTTAAAGATATTCTTATAATACAAGAAGGATTGCATATACAAAAAGTTAAATAGGCAAGACCTTTAGTTGACTTGCATGTATGACATCTAGTGTAGAACTTATATAGCAATATATAAGCAAACTATTTAAATTAAGTACCAAAAATGCATATATAACTAGTTGTAACCTCCAATGTAAAAAACCTCTAAAGGCAACCTATATTCTATATATTTGAATAAAAATATCATATCTCAAAGATAAGAACTTTAATATTAAAAAAAAATTTTTTGAATTATTATATTATTTTAAAAAAATATACTTGTATATATAATAAAATTTTCTTAAATTAGTTAAAATTTTCTTAAATAATGCAAAATTGAAAATTTTAATTAGTTAATTTATATAAACTTATATTAATTTTATTATATAATTTTATATTCTAATATTTAAAATTTTCTATTTTAATTCAAAGAAAAAGAATACATATTAGCAAATATGTAAATCAAAGATATATGATTTCGATCTATCTTTCTGAGCTATCTGAAATGACAGCTTGGTGGAATTTGAATTGAATATCAAAATAGTAAGAATATATTATAAAATCAATACTAAGATTAGAGTGAACTCTACAAAGATATAACAGTTTAATAATATGTTCTGACTGCTAGTATTGGTCTCAACTATAGTAATATTAGATTAACTGTAAAAATAAGATATAGAAGATTTTGAAAGGTTTAGTATAAGATCAAAAGTTTCAAAAAACTGCTTTAAAAACTTAGTAGTCATAATATATTTTCACTAACATTGACCAGAATTGTTGGTAAGAAGAGATAAGTAGATAGATACAGAAACTAAAGTAATTAAATAGAGAATCTATAAACAGGTTTCAGGTATGACAACTAGTATAGAACCTTTAAGCAGACTATTTAAATTAGATAATGACTAAAGTTATATGAATGACTAGTTGTACACTCTTTCTATAGTTGCTTCTTATAATTGTTATATAACCATTAGCCAAATATACTATCAATAAAATTCTAGATTACAAGTACTTACCTTAATATTTTAAAAAAAAATAATTTTATATTTTAATAAATTTTTATTCAATTTTAATAATTTTGCTATTATTAGAATTAGAAAAACCTACTTTGACTTTTACTTAATAATTCAAATTAGTTTATTTTATTTTATTTTTTTTAAATATTAATGATAAGATCATGCTTTTAACTTTATTGAAATTCAATTGAAGTTTTTACAAAAAAAAACTTTCTTTTAAATTATATATGAAAAATAAAAACTTAAACATATAATCTGTAACCTAAACCTATCAAATTAGTTTATTTAATATAGTTTTTTATAAATTTAAATATAAAAAAAAATTATCATTAAGTTTATATATAATTTTAAAATAATACAATCTACTCTTAAAATACAAAATAAAATTTGAAAGTTTATAAAATTTTGTTAACAAATATAAGCGACTATGTAGCCGGTCTGAACCAGTATCCTTGACTATTCATAATACACAATCAAATTGCTTGATTGGCTCTACTATAAAGTTCTTGTTATGCTTTGGTCTAGAGGTTGGAACCGGTTTTAATAATTCGAATTTGTCATCATATATTCAATTAAACCTTGATAAATTCTAAAATATCCCAAAATTGATGTGATAAACTCGAATTATTAAACCGGTTCCAATCTCAATACCAATGAAGTGTATAAACGAGATTATATAAGCTTTATCAATTAAACCTTATAGTAATCAATATAGTATACTAAGCAATTTCAGCAGTACTGATGTATCTTTATTTTTTGTACAAAATATTACAAACTAAATTTTGCGATATACATTTCGATCGAATAAAATATGAAAAGATATCATACTACTCCTATACAAAATTTAAGATATGTACGTATTCAAATTTAAATATAATTTACCACCACGGTTTTGCATTATCCAAATTATCAGTTTCCCATGTATTCGATCCTTGTTGATTAATTCTTGATGATTCATTATTTAGTGGAGGTTGACCGTACCTCGGAGAATTAAAACCCTGATTATTAACCCTTCGCAAATCATACGGACTTTCGGATTTATCACTACCATTATTTCTCAAAATATTTTCAGATTGACTACTTCTTCCACGTGTATCCTCTCGATAATCATTTCTCCGACCACTGTTTCTGGATCTGTTCTCACGATTATTTCTCCAATTATTAGTATCTCTATCATTGTTGTTCCCATAATTATCATGATTTTTCCAACCAGTTTCTCTATCATCTTTCCAGCTATTCTCTCGACTTCCGTTTCTCCAGTTTGGCTCTTGATTATTGTCTCTGAAATTTGGGTCACGATCGTTATTTCTCCAGTTACTAATATCTCGGTCGTCATTCTTCCAATTACTAGTATCCCGACCATTATTTCTCCAGTTATTATTATCCCGACCACTATTTCTCCGGTTATTATCTCGATCATTATTTTTCCAACGGTTTTCTTGATCATTATTTTTCCAACTAGTCTCTCGATCATAGTTATTTCTCCGACGGTTTTCTTGATCATTATTTTTCCAACTAGTCTCTCGATCGTAGTTTTTCCAACTAGTCTCTCGATCATAGTTATTTTTCCAACTAGCCTCTCGATCATTCCAACTGGCCTCTCGATCATTGTTATTTTTCAAACTGGTCTCTCGATCATTGTTATTTTTCCAACTGGTCTCCCGATCATTATTTTTCCAACTGGTCTCTCGATCATTATTTTTCCAACTAGTCTCACGATCGTTGTTATTTTTCCAACTAGTCTCTCGATCATGATTATTTTTCCCACTGATCTCTCGACCATGATTATTCCAATCAGTCTCTCGGTCATTATTTTTCCAACTAGTTTCTTGTCGCATACTATTTTCCGAAGTGGTGAATTGTGTTCCCCAGCTTGCAGTAGCATCTTTTTTTGCTTGTTCCCATGCATCATCTACGTTGCTATCTTTTTGATCTAAAGTGCTCGGTGTGACTAACCATGAACTATCATCGTTATTCACTCTATTTAACTCATTCTGTTTTTTATTGTTTAATTCCAATGTTGGATTGTTATCGTCATTTTTAGTTCCCCAAACTATTGATCTATTATCGCCAGAAGCATTCAATATGTCACTAATTTTATTTTGCGTATTCCTCATTATTCCGTAATCATCTTTATTACGGGTGCTTCCTCTGTAATTATAATCTTGTGAATTCGATCTGACGGATGATGGATTTTTCAACGAATAATTATCATTATAGCCACCACCAATGTCGCCAGATGACCCGTAATTATTGTTTGTATTATTACAATTTCCTTCATAATGTCCTGCCTTTCCACATTTAAAGCACTTCCGATCATCTTTTTTAGGTTCTAGGCATTCACGTGACAGGTGCCCCTCGTGATTACAATTATAACATATTTGACTTCTGCGGAAACTTCGACGGTCACCATTGCCATCCGATCCAGCATTATCAGAGTGATCACGGACAACATTGTTGTTTGGTCCATACTTATAACCACCGTCACCTCCTCCAAAGTTTCTATCGCGAATTTCGGCATAATAATCCCGTCGCCCATCGATATTGCATGATTTCGTTATGTGATCGGTAGCTCCGCAATGCTGACATGCTAAAGGCATATTTCGCTCATTTTTTTGCTTTGGCTCTGCGCAATCCTTTGCAGTGTGACCTTTTTGCTTACAATTAAAACAAGCTGGCGTTGGATCATCACTCAAAAACCCAGCATCTGCAAGCCATTGAAAATTCTCTGCTTCTGAACTGGCTTTGCCAGAAGTTTGTGGCAACCGATCTGGACTCGTTATCAATTGGGCTAAATATTTCTTATTCGTTTTTCCTTGCAAATCAATCAAACATTTCGTCAATGGAATTCCTTCACGTTTTAATGCGATTATTCTTCCGGTACAACCTGCCATTCCCAATCTTTTCTCGATTGTCTGAAATGTTTCTTCGGGAGATGCTTTGGCATATTCTTCAAACATTTCTTTAAACTCATCAATATCTTTTTTTCTATCAGCTTGGAGAAGTCTATTCCACGCTTCTTCGGGTGAGAATTTTGGAGGCATTGCGTTGGCAACTAGATATAAAAAGAATTTTACGTATATTTAAGATTCAGAGTTGTAACTGATATCGATATGACATTAAACACTTACAAGGGCTAGGCTTTGAACCTCCTCGACGTGTATTAATAAAATTATTATGTGAATCATCATCATCGAGATGCGTGGAAGTCACTGGATGTATTGGTTGCATATGTGATTCTGGCACAGATTTGTGGCTGTCTTGGGCTTGCATTTTTGATTCATTCCGTTCCCATTCATTTTTTACAGGTTGTTTTCTATCAGAAGCTTTCCATGTTTCAAGGATTTGTTGCGATGGCTCATTTACAGTGTTCCAGTGTGATTCATTTTCATTTGAGGGTTTCGCAGAAGTATCCCATGGAACACCATTTTTTGGTGCTTTATCATTTGAAGACTTTCCTGCAGGTACACTCCACGTATCATAAGAAGTTTGTGACGGCTCATTTAAAGGCGCGTTCCATTGCGATTTAATATCCTCGTTCATCGGTTTCATAGAAGTCCATGAATCTATATTCTTCTGTGCTGTCTCATTTAAAGACTTAGGCGTAGGTGAACACCATTCATTATCAGAATTTGTTTGTGATGGTTTATTTAAAGAAATGTTCCGCTGAGACTCGGTATTTTCATTAGGCACTTTCACAGAACTTCCCCACGAACTTAAATTTTTTTGTGCACTCTCATTTGAAGAATTTTCAGTAGATGCGCTCCATGTATTAGGGGGAAGTTTAATATTTTCATTAGGTTGTTTCACCGGTACACCCCACGAATTTTCATTCTTATGTAATGTCTCATTTAAAGACCTTTCTGCAGGTGAATCCCATGTATTAAAAGTCGTTTGCCGTGAAGGAATATTCCATTGCGATTCGGCACTTTCGTTATACGATTTAACAGAGCCACTCCGCGACTTTTCTGGAGGTGCTCCCCATGTATTAGATGTAATTTGTGATGGCTCATTTGAAGGAGCTTTCCATTGAGACTCAACATTTTCATTAGATTGTTTCACAGGGACATCCTGTGAGCTTGTATTCTTTTGTGCTGTCTCATTTAAAGACTTTTCTGGAAGTGCACCCCAAGTATTGGATGTCGTTTGCGATGGTTCATTTAAAGGCATTTTCCATTGAGGTTCAAAATTTTCGTTTGATGGTCTCACAGCACCCCACGTACTCGTATTATTTTGTGCTGTCCCATTTAAAGGCTTTTCTGGAGGCGCACTCCACGTATTGGAGGTCGTTTGTGATGGTTCATTTAAAGACATTTTCCATTGAGGGTCACCATTTTCATTAGATGGTTTTACGGCGACACTCCAAGAACTTGTGTTTTTTTGTGTTGTCTCATTTAAAGACTTTTCTGGAGGTACACTCCACGTATTGGATGTCGTTTGTGGTCGTTCATTTAAAGGTATATTCCATTGAGGTTCAACATTTTCATTAGACGGTTTTACGGGCGCATCCCATGAACTTGCATTCTTTTGTGCTGTCTCATTTGTAGACCTTTCTGTAAATGCGCCCCACGTATTAGATGTAGTTTGTGATGGCTCATTTAAAGGAACTTTCTTCTGAGGTTCAACGTTTTCATTAGATGGTTTTACGGGGGCACTCCACGAACCTATATTTTTTTGTGCTGTCTCATTTAAAGACTTTTCTGGAGGTACGCACCAGGTATTAGATGTCGTTTGTGGTCGTTCATTTAAAAGTATATTCCGTTGAGGTTCAACATTTTCATTAGATGGTTTTACGGGGGTAACCCATGAACTTGCATTCTTTTGTGCTGTCTCATTTGTAGACCTTTCTGAAGGTGCTCCCCACGTATTGGATGTCGTTTGTGATGGTTCATTTGAAGACATTTTCCATTGAGGTTCAAAATTTTCATCAGATGGTTTTACGGGTGCATCCCACGAATTTGTATTTTTTTGCGCTGCCTCATTTAAAGATTTTTCCGGAGGTACACTCCAGGTATTAGATGTCGTTTGTGATGGCTCATTTAAAGGCAAATTCCAATGAGGTTTAACATTTTCATTAGATGGTTTTACGGGGGTATCCCATGAACTTGTATTCTTTTGTGCTGTCTCATTTTTAGGCCTTTCTGGAGATGCGCCCCACGTATTAGATGTAGTTTGTGATGGCTCATTTAAAGGAACTTTCCTCTGAGGTTCAACATTTTCGTTAGATGGTTTTACAGGGACATCCCATGAATTTGTATTCTTTAAAGACTTCTCTGGAAGTACACCCCATGTATTAGATGGGGTTTGTGATGACTCATTTAAAGGAGCTTCCCATTGCGTTTCAACATTTTCATTAGATGGTTTCACAAGGACATTCCACGAACCTATATTTTTCTGTGCTGTCTCGTTCAAAGGCTTTTCTGGAGGTGCATCCCATGAATTAGATGTAGTTTGCGATGGCTCATTTAAAGGAGCTTTCCATTGAGATTCAATATTTTCATTAGGTGGTTTCACCGATGCATCCCACGAATTTGCATTTTTTTGTGCAGACTTATTTAAGAACTTTTCTGAAGGTACGCTCCACGTATTAGATGGGGTTTGCGATGATTCATTTAACGGAACGTTCCATTGAGATTCGACACCTTCAATAGAAGGTTTGACAAAACCATCCCATGAACCTGCATTTTTTTGTGCACTCTTATTTGAGGACTTTTCTGTGGCTGCACTCCATGTATCATATGTATTAGATGTTATTTGTGATGGCTCATTTAAAGGATCTTTCCGTTGAGATTCAACATTTTCATTAGGTGGTTTTACTGATACATCCCATGAACTTGCATTATTTTGTGCTGTCTCGTTTACAAACTTTTCTGGGGGTGCGCCCCATGTATTAGAAGTTGTTTGCGATGGCTTATTCGAAGGTGTATTCCATTGAGACTCGACACTTTCATTGGACTGTTTCATAGAACCACCCCACGAACTTGTATTTTTTTGAGTACTCTCATTTACAGACTTTTCCCTAGTAGTACCCCATGTATTATTAGAAGTCATTTGTGATGATTCATTTAAGGGAATATTCCATTGTGGTTCAACATTTTCATTGGATGGTTTCACCGGCCCAACACCAACTGAAAACAGCTTCTTGCGTAAAATGTTCATTATTGAAGGATCAATATTATTTAAATACTGCTCAAGTAATGTTAAATCAATTGGATCCGTTTGGACTTCTACATCACGAAATTCTTTAATGGTGAATGAAGATTTAGTTCGTTTCAGATAATCATTGTTATCATGGGATTCTAAAGAAGATTATATATTAAATAAAATAGTAGACATTACTACAAACTACCAAATTATTCCAAGAGTTACATACCTTGAGTCGGATGTTGAATGTAAGTTCGAACAGTCTTTTGAATAATTCCAGGGGGGACCGAATTTAAATTATCATTCAGGTCATAATTCTCCAATTGTTTACTCTCATTATGTTTTTTAATTTGTAATGTTGTAAAAGAGTTATGAATTACCTCCTGCATAGCAAGAGTCTTCAAAATAAGCGAAACGTTAAAACGATCTGATTTAAACAGATACAGGACTTTCAATGCAGTTAAAAACATACAGATAAATCATCGGGCTCCACCTCCATTGGATCGATTGAATTATTAGAAATAATTTTTGAATGCTGATCAACAGATCTGGCACGTATGGTAGTAGACTTCAAAGATCCATCATCTGCGTCATTTCTCTTGGCTTCCCATGAGCCTTCCGAACGGCCTTTACCACCCCACGTATCTTTAAACATATCAGATCTTTTATGTACACGAATATCTTCAGACGGAGATGATCTCTTTTTATTCCATCCATTATTTTCGTTGTGAAAATACGGTTTCTTCCAATGATTATCACGATTATGAACCGAGGTTGGTGGGTTACTTGTCACCCATTCGACTTCTTCTTCAGGGGTGGGAGCTTGTTTCATAGTAGGGTCATTTTCACGATCCTGTGAGAAAGTTGGTTGATCACTTGTTGGTTGATCACTTGTTACCCATTCGTCCTCGTCAGACAGAGGAACTTGTTTTATCACGCGACTATCATCTTGATCTTGAGGAGGAGTCAACGTCCTTTTTATTACATCATCACCTTCAACAGAAGCTTGTTTATCCTTCCAATTAACTTCTAATTCAGGTTCTACTACATCTTCAGTAGAAATAGGTTCTTGTTTACTTGTCCAATCATCTTTTACTTGTGTTTGCACACCCTGTGTGCCCCAGCTGCTCTCATAATGGGGTGAAGTTTGTGGCCAATTGCTTTCATTAGAAACTCTTGCTTGTGGTCCCCAACCCTCATCAGTAGTTGAGGGTTTCCAATTGTCATCATTAGAAGTACTACTTGGAGATAGCCAACCTTTATCGGTGGTCGAAGGTTGTTTCCAATTATCTTCATTAGAAGCACCACTTTGAGGAGGTTGCCAACCTTCGTCATTCATTATTTTTTTACTGTAACCCAAGGAAAATGATTGTGGCGGAAACAAGTACATTGCCCATAAAAAATTTCAATCAGTCTTTTTGGTAAAATAAAAAAGAAAAGCCGATAATTTTCAAATTATTCATATTTTTAACCGACGTGATAATTATTATTTTTGATAAGTCCACAAATTTACATTTTTTGAACAATTATTTTTTACCCATGCAATTCGACTCACCGTGTCTTTACGATAGCAATTCTTCGACTAAAGTTTTACGCGAAAACTTCGCTTCTTAAATTTACAACTTTTATTTTTTACTTAATAAAGCTCGCGTTACTTTATAAATGGTTTCTTTTTAGTCTGTGAAAGAAATAGCAAACAGAAAATCGGATTATGTAACATTAATACATTATAAATAGATATTCTTAGTTTTAATTGGTTCCGCTTGGCAAATAGTCTAAACTATTAAACAGGTATGAAACTAGCAAGGTACTCTGATCCCAACACCGATACCAGTGATGCATTAGTTATCAGAAATCAGTGGCTTCATAAATTACAAAAAAGTGACGATGTTTTTCTATATACGTACTCATTCCTATTTATCAAACTTGAAATTTCCACAAAATTACTCGTTCAAATTCAAGAATTTCTCATTAAACAATATTATATACTTGTGATTTGTGTTTCGCACATGCGGGAAGTTGTGGGAATATTCGCACAGTACTTCTCTGTACTTTCTATGATATTCAACACATGATTTGATGTTTAATTCAATATTATATTAATATAGATATCGATATCAATATATATGGATTATTAATGAAATATTATCCGATATACATATCATTATTATATTTCAAATATTCAAATGTTAACGATATAATTTGGATACCACGTTCTGGCTACGTACATATATACGCATATTTAAATGGATGCGATATTGCTAAATCTTTTAGGTTATAATTTATATTTTTACTATTTTAGCAATATTAAACCTATAGTTTTTATACGTAACAGTTGTTTTAAAAATAATACATATACGTATAAGTAATAAATTACGTATAATTAAAATAAAGCAATATTTTACAACTAACAGCTGGTTGACATAAAATGAATCTCTTAAATAATTATTACGATAATAATTACCAGAAACTAAAGATAATACGTAAAAAAAAAAAATTTAAAGATGATCTGATGATAAGAATTACCAACCAAATTTGAAATTTTGCATCCCTTTCAGCCTTTCTCATTATCTTTATCGGTATGCATTATTTTTTATACATTAATATTACACCATTTTTTCAAATGTAGTCGAGCGACCAATACTTGGCGCTCTAAGTAAAAAATATTCTCTGCGTCCAAAAAAACCTTTTGATCTTAACCTCCAAATTTTACCAAAAAAAATTTTTACGTATACTGTAATATGTACAAATTTGATTACTTGACTATTTATTGTTATATAAGGTAGGGTATTATGGCGGCTATGGGATTACTACAACTATGTGATGGTAAATGACCACAAGTCATCAAATAATATCGATATGTTAACGTTAAATGATATTCTAAGTCATTTAGGTCAGATCATATGACTTGCACGTACAGGTTTTTAGTTTATAATAGACACATGCCCGTAGACCGGGTCATCTCAGGCTACATGCGATATTATCACATAGTTTGGGACGTCCCAAATAGTTTGCTAATGTCCAATACCATTTAACAATAGCCACCAGCAGTGATTTAATGCTTAAAAATTTTAAATAAGACCCTGAATCAGGGTTTTAGATCCATTTCTCTAGCCAACCAAATTTCAAGATCGGATGCAATGCAAAAATCAAATTTGCTTATCAAATTATATTAACGAAGTTATTATTAGCAATATCTTTCAGATGGTAAAGCAGAGTCGTTTACTATTTACTGTCTTAATGTTTTTTGATACATTTGAACTATCGCTATGGTATATTTTTGTTTTCTATTCAACTTTTGCAGGTTATGTTTATTGGATAACTGTGTAATCACATGATTTTGCATTAATTTAATTGAGTAAAAAATTTTTAAAGTCTAACGATTAGTTGCTTCGAAGCAATTTTTGATCCGTATCAGTATCACTAACTCTGACTTTGTCCTAAGTAAGGTCATTCCATATAAAGTACTAGTTACCTAATTTATCTGAGTATTGTCGTGCCCGTCTTTTGATATTCGAAGTGCGTGTGAATTTTTACAGTATCAATCAGGATTTGACCCATACTTTGCAGTAATCGAATAATTTTCTTAAAGCACTTTAGAGTATTTACATAGCGAAATTAAAGTACTTTAAAGTATTTACATAGTGAAAGTCGGAAAATGACAAGTTGCCACTCTACAATTCAGCATTCGTATAACATTAGAATAGAAAAGGCGTAGTGAATTTGATGAACGGTTTTATGAGATTCAGTTATTCTATAATGCGTCGAAACTATTTAATTATATATTCTACAAAATGTTGGAACAAAGGGTTCAAATATTCAGTTTGTCTAAGACAACCAGTCAAATTAATGTATTTACTTTAATAATGGGTCATTAAAGTTCTTGTAATACGTAGAATCTAGAGTACAATTTTTTTATTTTTATTTAATAAAGCAATGTTTTAAAAATCAATTTAGTGAATATTACATAAGCAATTTAAATATTTTAAACACTAAAGCAGTTAAGTAAAGTTAAATATAAGAACTAAAAGCAAGCAAATAATTCTAATATAGAAGCATTTATATAAAAGCATAATAGGTGACTAATTAAACAAAATATATAATACTTAAAAATTAAGATCTTTTTTTCATTTTTTTAAGATTCAAATTTTTTAATTCAATTTTGCTTTATGCTCTTCTAATTCAAGTTGTTTTTTTCAAATTGTTAAGTTTTTTTCTGTTTCATTCAAGCTTGTTTTAGAATTTTTTTGTAATTTTTTTTTTTAGTAGTAAACTTAGTTGTGTATTATTTTTTTTTGTATTGGAATATTTATGCTTTCTATTTGCTAAAAAATTAAAATAAGTTAATTATTAATAATTATAATTATGATTTTTTTTAAAAAAATATTAAAGTAAATACTTGTGACCTAGAATTTTATTGATAGTATATTCATTAATAGTTATATTACAAATACAAAAAACAATTATGAAAAAAGTATACAACTAGTCACTTATACACTTTAATTTAAGTAATTCACTTAAAGGTTTTATACTAGCTATCATATCTGAAACCTGCTTGTAAATTTTTTATTTAAATACTTTAGTTTTTGAATTTACCTATTTACTTATATCTATCAATAATTCTAATTGATATTAATAAAAATATATTATAATTACTAAGTCTTACTTATATAAAAAACTTTTGATCTTCTACTAAATCTTTTAAAATTTCTATATTTTATTTTTATAGCTAACCTAATAACATTATAACTAAAACCAATATTTGCAGTTAAGATTTATTATTAAACTACTATGTTTTGTAAAGTTTACTTCAAACTTAGTACTTATTTTACAATATATTCTTATTATTTTAATATTTAATTCAAGTTTTACCAAGTTCTCAGTTTAGATAATCCAGAAAGTTGGATACAATTATATTTTTAATTTATATGTTTTTTGATATATAATATTTTTTTAAAAAGTTCTAACAATCTAGTTAGTTATAACAGTATCTTTTTAAGATTAATATATCATTTTTTTTTTTAATTTTTGACATTTTGCTGATTACCTTTATTAAGAGTCTTATATACTGTAATATTATAGATATTTTTAAACATTATTTTATATTATTTTATTGATATTATATTAGTTTTATATTATAT